CCTACAGCTCCCTCAGCTCCCCCATCTCGCCCAGCTCCCCCATCTCGCCCAGCTCTCTCAGCTTCCCCAGCTCCCCCAGCTCCCCCAGCTCCCCCAGCTCCCCCAGCTCCCCCAGCTCCCCCAGCTCCCTCAGCTCCCCCAGCTCCGCCAGCTCCGCCAGCTCCTGCAGCTTGCCCAGCTCGCCCAGCAGAGGCTGTTTCCCCTTTCCTTTCCATGTTACAACCTAGCAAAGCTTCACCACCCAGCCCTGAGACTCCACAAATCTGAAGGCAGGGCTAAAGCACCCTTTGTGCCTGTGCCCAACCCTCAGCTGCTCCCTGGAAAAGTTAGGAATTAAACTGACCTGCGTAGTGTCAGATCTCTGTTAGTCACTGAGCTGGGCAACACCAAGGGGCTCTTCCTCAGCAAAGTTTTCCAACCAGAGTAGAACACCCAGGATTTCACAGCATTTTCCTGAATCCACGGGGCTGCTCACCTTCCAGGCCTTTCCAAAGGAGTGTTACCTTTGCAAAGGGAGTGCCATCATTGCTGCTCCCTGCGATGTTGTGCTGTACACAGTCTGGAGGTGTGAAGGACCTCCAGCCCACTCCAGTGTGCTCCAGCACAGTCCCTGTGGAGCTCTCCAAGCATTCCTGGCCCCTGGAGCTGTGCAGTTTGCTGGGTACCTGAGCTCTCTGGGCAACTCGCTGCCCAACTGATGTGACCCTGTGTGAACTGGCAGGGACAGACTCCCCCAGAGGGTGTAGGTTCTTTTCCTTCTTAATTCTGTTTTGCACAATACAGAGTTCTTGGGGGTTTTATCCCCATCCTCACTTCTTGTGCTGCTCGCCCAATGAAGCAGCTCCTTAGGAACACTTATCCACTGGCTGAGGTATAGTATCATAGTATGTTAAGGGGTTGGAATGGACCTTAGAGATCATCCAGCCCCAACCCCTGCCCTGGGCAGGGACACCTCCCACCAGAGCAGGTTGCTCAAGGCTTTAGCCAATCTGACTTGGAACACTGCCAGGGTTGGGGCAGCCACAGCCTCCCTGGGCAACCTGTGCCAGTGTCTCACCACCCTCACAGGGAAAACTTCTTCCTGAGATCTCATCTAAATTTCCATCTGTCCATTTATCCCCATTCTTCCTTGTCCTATCACTGCACTTCCTAACCAAGAGTCTTCCCTGGAGCCCCTTCAGCTCCTGGCAGGTTGCTCTGAGGTCTCCACACAACCTTCTCTTCTCCAGGCTGAACAGCCTCAACTCTCTAAGCCTGTCCTTGTAGGGAAGGTGCTCTTGTCCTCTTCTCAGCTTTGTGGCCTCCTCTGGCCTTGCTGCAACAGTTCCATGTCCTTCTGCTGTTGAGGACACCAGAACTGTGTGCAGCACTCCAGGTGGGTCTCACAGAAGCAGAGTAGAGGGGGAGAATCACCTCCTGCAAGTTTCCAGCTCAAGCACTGAGCTATATTGATGGATCTTCTCCAAAATCAGAGTGCAGAAGGAGCTTCAGGAGCTTGATTTCTCCCCTCAATACTCTGTCCATTACGGAGGTCTCCCACTGAAGAGCCATCCCAAAAGGGGATGCTGGAGGACTCTGCTGGTGTGTGCCCACAGCCCTGGGGCTCACAGCTGTGTGTTTCTAACCAGCTGCACCCTGTGTCCCCCAACAGGTTCGGCAGCTGGAGAGGAGCATCGGCCTCAAAGACTTGGCCATGGCAGAGATGGAGGAGAAGATCCGCAACATGGAAGCTTCCACCTACGATGGAGTTTTCATTTGGAAGATAACGGAATTTGCCAGGAAGCGTCAGGAGGCGATCACAGGTCGCTCTCCTGCCATCTTCTCTCCAGGTGTGCAAAGTCCCCACAGCCTTCTGTGTCTTAGCTGGTTGTGAGGTTTGTGGAGGGTCCTCCTCCAGGGAGATGCTGCCAAGGCCAGGTTGGATGGGGCTTGGAGCAACCTGGACTAGTGGAAAGTGTCCCTGCCCATGGCAAGGGGTTGGACTAGATGACCCTTATGGCTCCTTCCAGTCCAAATTGTTCCATGATTCTATACTGGCCATCAGATGTGGTGCTGTTCTGTTCCCCTTTCCCCCTGGAGCCTGAACCCCTTGGTTTTCATATTGTGGTCACCGAAGCTGCTGCTGGCAGAGAGAATTTCTGCTTTCAGCAAAACCTCTTTAGTGTCTCAGAGTGGAGATTGCGACCCCTCGAGCTCTGGAACAACTCTGCATAACCTTTTAGTTAGAATGAAAATGCCACAGAGAAACCATAAAATCTGCAGTAAAATGGTTAAGGAAGGGTGGAAATACATATTACAGCCCCAGAAATGTGTTTGTAATACCAAAAGTGTGACTGTGCAAGAGACAAACCGTACCTACAGAAGTGGTTGAGTGTCTGTCTGGGGAAGAGACTAAGCACTGAGACTGTGGGCAGCAGGTTAGGATCTGTTGTTTGCTGGGAAAGCACTTCCCAGGTGTGAGCTGTAAGGTGAAACCAGCTGCTCCCACAGTTCCCTTGTCCAGTGGAAGCTTCCCTTGCACCAGAATGGTTGGGGAGGGGAGTTGAGGTTTGCTGAGCAGGAATCACTCTGGTCCAGGAGTGCTGGAGAGCTTTTCACATTGTCCAAAGCTGGCACAGCCCTTCAGCCATGCCTGTGCCCCCAGGCTGTGGGACAGCAGCTGTGGCTGAACCATGAGAGAGAGGCAAATGAGTTTTAAAAACTACTTTAAAATCTGTTTTGTGGGTGAAGGCTGTTCTGAGCCCTTTCTCTGAAAGAAAAGAGGATTTCCCTTCTTGACTGGCACTGAATGGCTGGTGAAAATGCATGTGCAGTTAGCAGTTCCTTCTCCAAGGTAGCAACAGCTGTGGAAAAACCCTTCTCCATCCCCATTGGGGAGGCAGCACTTCCTTCCCTTTCCCAAGGCCCACAAATCCACTTTAAATCCGCTTGGTTTGACTTAGAGAGGACCTTAATTCTTGCATCCTGTCCCTCTCCTGCACCTGTCCTTGTCCAGAGGATATGAGCTGGAGGGAGACACTGGGTAGAGCTGATCTGTGCCCTGCCCATGGGTGTCTCAGCTCCCTGTGCCAAGCTCAGGGGCTCCTCGGGGCCCTCCAGCAGTTGATGCGTCTGAGGTCCTGGAACGGGGTGGGGTTTGGTGCTCCCGTTTGGAGAATCAAGTCATCTACAGGAGGGATGTGAGTATGGGAGTGAGCCCAAGGGAGGGAAAGGGGAGCTCTGTCTGTCCAGGTGTTTGCTCAGCCATGCTCTGAGTGCATGACTCACCTCAGAACCCAGCTTGTGGTTCTGCTGCCTCTTCCCTGCTGCTGGCAGGGAAGTGCTTTCCCAAGCTGGTTTCAGTTTACTGCTCACGCCTGGAAAAGTGCATTTAAACTCCATCCCATGCCAGGTAGACTATCAGGGCAGTGGTGGTAGGGGCTTGGGGCTTTTATATACTGTTTCATCAAAGGAAAAAACCACTCTGTGGGCCACCAGGCTGTTGGTTGTGTTCCTGGTCGGTCTCTGCAGTCTGTTAATGCCAATCCTGTGCGTGGCCAGAGGGACTGGAGATGAGGGTTGTCTCTACCTGACACGGGCTGCTGCAAAAGGCAGGACTAGGTTTTTTTCTCTTCCAAGTGAAAGTACAGGCCTGGTTTCCTCCAGGAGTTCATTGTGTCATTATACAGGAGATCCTCATTCCTGGTGGGATTTTGGCTGAGAAAATCAGGCTGAGAAACAAAGGTTTCTTGTGGAAGTTGGTCTTTTGGCTTAGGGAGTGAAGCAGATAGAGCAGTGCTGTTCAGTCTGGGAAGAGAGGGCTGAGAGGAGAGAGGTGCAGGCTGTGGATGTGGTGAAAAAGGGACATGGCTGTCATGGTTTGGTTTGCATTTAAATGTACAGGTAAAGGTGAGGAAATAGCAGCTGAAATGGCTGTTAAAGAGAAGGAAGTGTAGTTACTGCTCACTGTGCTGTGAGGACACGATTGCCACGGGGTTTGGCAAAGGGCAGAATCTTGAGTTCAGAAGGGCAAATTGCACAAGAACGGTTTGTTCAGGGCCTGACCCAGGACAAAGCAAAGCTCTGCAGCCATCAAATCCAGGGCAGCAGCTTCCTGGGCTCTTGCTCTGCTCCTGCTGCACTTTGCCCTTGCCCAGGCCAGGGGGAAACAGGACGTGCACCTACTTGATCCCTTTCCCTGGATACTCCCACTGCTCTGGAGCCATCCTTCCTCCCATTCCCTGCTGGATTTTACATCCACAGGGTGACAGGACTGCTGAGAAGCCCCAGGAGGGCAGTGGGGATGTGCTGCTTGAGCTGGAAAAGGGGCCATCTGCCCTGAGAGCCACTGGGTGATGCAGTTGGAGAGGAAGGAGCAGAGGAGTGGAGTGCCCAGAGAGATGCAGTGACAGAGCCCTGATCTCTTGCTCCTCACCCTGTGGAAGAGCACAGTGTCTCTGCTATTCCTACTCTGCCTGCTGGGAAAAGTGCCTGAGTCCTGCAGTAAAACACTGTCTGTGATGTCTGATCTCTGGCCAGCCTGAGGCACAGCTCTGTGCCCTGCAGGGGGTGGGTTGTGGCAGGGCCCCTTCCAAACTGTGACCCCACATGGGTCTGGTGTCACAACTCAGACATTCCTGGGGTTGCTGGAGGAGAGCACCTGAGCTCCCACCCCAGCCATGCCCAGGCCATGGAGCAGATGGGATCCAATTGGAACTGAAGTTCACCTGAGCCCCATCCTGACCAGAGGCACCAGCTCACAGCAGGGGCAGTGGGTACTGAGGGTGCTCTGTCCCCAGCCTGCTGCTTTTTGGGGGGGTTGTTCCTGCTCACAGTGTCACTGCCATGAACCACAGCTCCTTCAGCACTGGGGTGAGGGGAATCACCCAGCCCCGGGGCAGAGCTCCAGCTGTGGGGGAATCCCTGGGGGAGTGGCAGTGCCTGCTCTGTGCACAGCTGTGTCTGGCCAGGCCTTGGGCTTTCCACAGCCCCTCTGTGGTACAGGTATTTTAAGCCCCAGACCTGGCTACTCCTGAGTTCCAGTGTTCAGAGCCCTCAGAGGGATCTGCTGGTGCCATGCCATGCCAGGTTGGGCCCTCACTCTGCTGTTTGTCACCTCTCTGGCAGCTTTCTACACCAGCAAGTATGGCTACAAGATGTGTCTGCGTGTGTACCTGAACGGGGACGGCACCGGGCGTGGGACACACCTCTCCTTGTTCTTTGTGGTGATGAAGGGACCTAACGATGCGCTGCTGCGGTGGCCCTTCAACCAGAAGGTGGGTCTGCTGTGCCCAGCCTTGGGCCTCTGATTTGGCACCCACTCAAGCTCCTTAGCACTGTCACTCTGGCTCACTTGGCAAGGAGAAGGAGGAAGGACTGTGTTCACTCTCCTGGGGTTTCCCCAGGTGTGCTGAGAGCTCTGGGTGTGTTGTGGGGCAGGAGGGTGACACAGGGTGTTCAGAGCTGCTGCAGGGGTTGGGGACAAGGGAAGGCTGTGGTGACCTCAGAGCCCATGGGGCAGTGGGTGCTCACTCGGCATCAGATCCCAGCTCCTGAGAGCTGCATGGCTGTGGGACACGTGGAGGCTGAGCGGGCACACATGGATGCAGGGAGTGGGCA